GAATGTGTCAGTCTATAAATCCATCTTGTAATAATAAAGTTGAAGTTGAGAGGTGCCCCCCACCATATAAGAATAGCTGTTCTTATATAGCACTGCCTTTTTGTGTTTAACATCACAGCTTATGATCTTTGGGTGCATTGTCTGTACAACATGATTTTGCCTGTTGGGGAGCAAACAGTAGATCTGCCTTGATTGAAGATAATTAGGCTTCTCTCGGTAGTCAGTAGTCATTTGTTAAGTTATGGTACAGGAGATATTTAAAACACAACATAGTTTTAAGCTGTGGATTTAAGTTTAGCCATGGGCCTATATTGGCTTATGGTTTACAGTTACCGCTTAGTATCTTACACTGCTTAGCTCTTAGGCCTCCTCACTGGCTTTATGGCCATTTTTAGGCCCTTGAGGGTGAGCATACTGTACAGTATATTATGTGGTACTAATACCCATAGGAACATGCTCATGTTTCATCATCAGGGATCCTAAACAACTGTGATAATGTGGTCATGTTTTGTGCAACCTAAGTAGCAGTAGCTCCAATATTTGGATTAACACCTTATCTTATCAAGTGGTCATTGGCTCATAAATTTGATGACGTATATCTTTTTACTTGGTTGGATGTTAGTGGCATCTTTTGTCTCATCAATCACCTCAAATGTTAACATAATCCAGAAAGCGAGACTGTCTGAGTGACAGGACGCTGACTTGCACAGATGGCTGTGTCTGTGTGACTGTGTATGTTCACTGCTCATCTTTCTCTCACAAGGTGCTAACGTGACTGTGCATGTGTCCCCCATCTTTCCTGACACTGTTTGTTTGCTCAAGGGGAACTCCACTTTCAGAATCGCATGGTGTTTGTTTCAGAGCTGTGCCCCTTTGCGTCTTCTGGAGTGACAGTCACTGAAGCAACATGATTATTGTCTATTTGAAAATGCATTTTATGTTTCCATAATGTATCCAGGACTTCAGGTTTAAGCAAATATATGATACACGTCTCAGTGCCTGTGGTTCCCCTTAATAACTTGCATAAATCTTTGGTCTGCATTAACGCTGACAAATGTAAAGTATTTTGACTGTTCAGTTTTGGCCTTGTTTGCCTAACTAGGGTGCCTTTCAGTTTAACTCTCTTCATTCGAGTTAGCCTAAAAGCTCTTAATCATTCCTGTTAATATTCAAGGAAATAAAATGTATATGATATCATTTGTAAGTGAGTCCACATGATGGCAAAGAGAACATGTTTAAGCAGAGCTCTTGCCAGTTCAGCTTTGCTCTTCACTTGCTTTATTCTTTGCTTCAAATCAACTTCACTGACAAGCTAACCAACTGAGACCCCTCCCCCATCTGTCCTGATTTGTTATCGTTCTCTTGCCCTGTTTGCCTTCTGTTATGCAGAGGTCTGACATAAAGTTTTTTTAAAGTACTTTTTTTTTTTTTTTCCCAAGGAGTACTCTGCTGATTAACATGGATATAAAAGCAGAGGTTTTCATGGTTTTACAATAGCCCGGTTGTAAGGCAGAGAAAATGTAGATTGGTCTGTGCTCCAGGCTTCTCATCTCTGTCAGCCCAGTTGACCTTGAGCACACTGCAGGTAAAACGCAGCTGTTTTACTGCTGTTTTATACTGTGCATTGTGATTTATCTGTAGAAAGTTTAACATAACTAAATGGCCATGAAACCAAGCACTGAGCCTCCAAAATATGGAGGCTGAGATGAAACCTAAGAAGTTCTTATCCTTGTTAGAGTTGCAGCAATGTCCTGAAACCCATTAAGTCTTAGGGCAGAGACACCCCAAGCCAATGGTCGGCTGTTGGCCACCGTCAGGCCATTGGTGAGCATTTGTCGGGCCTTGTCTTCCCAGTGTGTCTCACACTAGTCAGTCCCTGTCAGCAGCTTTTTGGCTGATTCAACATGTTGAATTGGTGTCAGTGGTCAGGCCTTATCGGTGAGAGACTGACCACTGTGATTGTCTGTTGCGCTTATCAAATCAGTACATGATAAGAGAATGGTTTGGCAAAGCCTCTTCAGCCTGTCACTGTAGTATCCATAAGTTCACCCAATCATTGCACTTTCTGCTTGTTTTTTTGCCTCAACAACCAAAAGACCAATGGCAGAGAACCCCAGTGTTGTTTGCAACTTCTTATGAGACATATTCTTGATTAGAAGCAGCTACAAACGGCAGCTGTTTTGAATGACAGGTGCTTTGTTTATAGCTTACACTTCTGCATTCTAGCTCTTCTTTCCCTTCCTGAATGGTGAATACTGATACCGCCAGTTGCTGGTAGGGAGAGTTATTTCTGTCACGCAGGTGACCTGACATGCAAGTTAGTCTGCCATTGGCTGTAGTCTGTGTGGTGTATTCAATCACATTTTTAACCTGACTGGACCAGACAAAGCTGACATGAGGTGATGCGGAGGTCAGCCTGCATCGCTGCTAGTTCTTTCATGTCTAACTGGTGTGTCTCTGCTAGTGTTGGCACGATATACCGGTACTAGTATGGTACCGTGGTACTGAGGCATTTAAAATGGTACTATACTGCATTTGGATGGGACTGGTACTTGCAGCGCCTGGAATCACAACAGACGATGCAACCAACAACCGCAAGGCATTTTCCAACCAACTCTGGATTCCCCGTTTTGGCCACAATTTGCATTTAGCAGTCAAAAAGGCCATAGAAATCGATCGTGTGGCAAGCTGTCTGTCCCGGCTACGTAAGACAGTGTCAGGCTTCTCAAGAGCTAATAAAATGTCAAGGCAGCTGAAGGAAAAACAAAAATATTTAAAGCTACCAGAACACACGCTAATTCATGATGAGCCTACACGTTGGGGATCCACCTATGATATGGTGGAACGCTTTTGTGAGCAGCAGCAAGCAGTCTCTGCTGTTCTAGCAGAAAAAAATGGTTCCTGATGCCGAAAGACACAGACATAACTTTGGAAACAGTGAGGGATGTCCTGGCTCCACTCAGTGATTTTACAGATGCCCTTAGTGGAGAGAAAGAAACAACTCTCTCATCAGTCCTGCCACTCCTGTGGAAAATTAAAGCCTGTCTGAAAGATGAGGAAGGTGACAGTCCACTGGCACTGGAAATGAAGGAGAAATGTAGAGAAGACTTTGAAAAGAGATATGATGAGCACAATATTAAGATGGCACTGAACATCTGCACCTACCTAGACCCCAGATTTAAAACCACATTTGTTACAATGGAAAAGGAAGTTAAAGAGGAACTGCTCCTAAAAGCTTACACAGTTCTGCTTCCAGAGGACTCAGACTCGAAGCACCAACCAGAAGGTGCTGTAGCAAAAAAAGAGAAGTGATCTAAAAAGCCTGCTCTGCACCATCACCTACGAAAAGAGGGGAGCAGACAGTTCAACAGGACAAGATTCATCCACATTGACAACACCTAAAGACAAACTAAACCGTGAGATGACTGACTATGAACAGTTAAGAGATATAAGTGCTGCACAGGACCCCCTAGCCTGGTGGGGTCATCATGAGTCTGATCTTCCCATCCTGGCTCAGTTTGCACGACAATATATGTGCATTTCAGCATCAAGCTGTGCATCAGAACGTGTCTTCAGCACATCTGGAAATATCTGTAGTCCAAGGCGTTCTAGATTGAGTGAGGAACACCTAGACATTTTGGTTTTCTTGGCCAAGAATCTCAACAAGACAAAAAGCCTGAGTCAGACTCAGTAGATAGTCTACTCCAAAAGAATCAGCCACCCAATAGTAGGCAAGAGAGGGAGTAGGGAGAAGGGACATAATGTTGATAGGAAAATAAGAGATTTTGCTGCTACAGTTGCTAGCTTATTTTAATTTCAAATAATTTTATTTGTTCTAATTGTTCCAAGTTAGAACTTCTAACTTCATACTTTTTATTTACTCACACTGACTGTTCTAAAAAAAAATTTTTTTTGAGTGCAATAAGAAAAGCCTAGTATTTTGAATTTTATGTTGATGTTATTATAAGATTTTCTATTAAAATAAAGTCAGTAATGACATTTTTTGCGTTCTCTTTTTATCTGAAAAACTATCCAAAAGTATCGAAATGCATTTTGGTACCGGTATCGAAATGCATTTTGGTACCGGTACCGAAATGTCGGTATTGTGACAACATTAGTCTCTGCCCTTATGGGCAGAATGCAGCACAGGAGAGGAAAAACAAAGAGGGGCAGAGAAGCGTCAGCGGTTTTCCTTTGCATCTTGTAGGATTACAGTGAAATTTGTTTATGCTGGTTATTCTCACTGAGTCACTTTGCCTTCCTCCAGCTTGTTGCCGCTCCTTGTAGAACAGATTTGATCCTCTCCCTTTCCTTTGTCTCTTCCTTCCTTGTATCTGCATTTCAGGGGAAGTGCTGTGAGCGTGTACAATATGTTGTGATGCGTTGAGGTGAGTGGTTTCACTCACATTTCCAACCCCTAAGTTTTCATTGTTTTGGTTGTTCATGCTGCTAACATAGCCTACTTGACCTTTGCGCCAGTTTTACCACCAGTGTGTCGGCACTGGCATAAAAAAAGGTACCGTTTAACATCCAGCACTAATGAAAAAAACATGCCATGTCGTTATGGTGCGTTAACTATGGCCCAAATATTCTGATGAATAGCAGTGAATGCTCATGATAACAAGGTAAACAAAGGGGTCCTCTTCCCATGGGCATACACATTCGTCCCCTGTACATGATTGGTCAACACAGCACCGCAACTTTTTTTTTTCCCCACACAGGGTTGCGTCATCTTGCCGGAGCTGGTGCCGGTGCCGGTGCCGGTGCCAGCGGCGGTGAATGCAGTCCCCCATAGAAATGGATGGGGAGAGCTGCATTTTTTTTAATTTTTTTTTTTTCCTCCACACCTTTGAAACTCAGTCTGAACACGGCCTAATTCAGAGGCACCCAATGCTTACAGCCGGCTGTGTTGCTGAAGCATTCATCTTTGTTTTACGTCCTTATAGTATTTTTTGTTTTTCCTGTTGTACTAACAAATGTTTCCCCTGTCTGTGTTTCAGGTGTCCCAGTCAACATGTGTATTGTTCAGAGCCGAGCTTATCAAGCCCAGGTCAGTCTGCCGGGGACAAAACCCCTGACAGTGAGAAGCAGGATCAGGTGCAGGACTCCACACAACACAAGGTTTGTGCCTTAGTTATATCAAAAACTGGAACATGCTGCTGTTTGATTTGTATCAAATGAAAAGAGGATGGGTAGCTATAGAGCATTGGTGTCAGTGGTCACAGAGGTCTGGAATTATGAAAGCCAGTGGATGTTGGGAGAGTAACTCCCACCCTTTCAATTTATCTCTCTAAATTTACAACAGATAACATTGCTGTGGAAATGTGTCAGGAATATTTTTAAAGCTTGACAACCACGTGCATGAAGATTAAGGTAATTATTTACCTGGAGATCAGCCCAGTTACACGTAGTCAGGAACAGCACGTCTGGTCAGTGAGTCACAGTGGAGGTGGAGATGCATGTTGAGACCAGTTCTGTGGGGTTAGTGTGTAGTACGCAAAGCTTTCTGCAGCCTTAGTAGCTGAAATATTTTGGAGACTAATCCTTCTTAAATCAGTGGACTCAATACCTTCAATCAGAATAGAGAGTAAAGTGGTCTTGTAACAAAGGTTTGCCTGTGATGTACTGATGGTGGCTCAGAGCTGGGTTAAATATTTAATACCCTCAGCACTTATGAATGGGCCCTCTCTGTGGTAATGAGTGTGTGATGATCAGAATGAATGATCATTTGGAGATGTGAGTATGTTTTGGTATGCATGGGTGTGCACAGAAGAAGAGGAATCATTGTTTGTGGTCCAGCAACAAGGGGTCATGCCAGGGCATTTTAACAGGGCTGACAGTCAGGCGTTTTCCCTTGTAACACAGTCTTTATCCAGCAACAGGAGGCCTGAGATGCAAAAGATGTTTTACATCTGACAGTTACACAAAATAAACACTATTAATTGATAATGTCCTGATAATTGCTTGAATTGTTGTGCTGCGATGGTACTTTGTCAGGCAGGTGATTGTCACCTTCTTAGCACAGAAACCTGAAACAGGCATACCCAAAACAAAATGGATATCCTTGAATTTTAAGGGTTCCACTAATGACTTTGGTGTCATTGGAATGGTAACACTTTCTAGTTTACTAAGAAAAAGTCTGATTCTGGCAGTGATCCTGAACCTAACCTGCTCAGGCACAAACTTTGTAAGAATGTTGGGTTTATTCTTGCCAATGTAAATGCTTTTTTTTTTTTTTTGGAAATTTGTCACTGCAGGTGTGCCTAGTGAACCTAATGATAAAATGAAGTCACTGCTACTATAGCTGACAGTTATAGTTTATGGGGGGGGGGGGAAAGCACTAAAAATGAGCTTCCTGGTTTGTTTTAACTAAGGGTATGTCCAGGTGAACACCAATGTGGCCATTTGGAGATTCCAAAAGAGCCTTTGGTAACCAAATGATATTATAAATGTTTAGAACTGTAAAATGCCATATTTTTGATATAAACCAAGAAAACTAGACAAATTACTTGTTTAAAAAAAAAAAAAAAAGTATTTTATAAAAATGTTGCAAAATAAAAAACATGAATGCAGCAATATAATAGAGCATCCATAATGCCATTTGGTTATATTTTATCCATCAGATAAATATAACCACATTTCACTGTATGAGCTATAAAAGATTTTTTTGAAACGACAAAACTAGATGAAGTAATAGCCAAAAATAATCCTTCATAAAAATGCACAAAACAGAAGAAATGGCCAATAAGACTATATCATAGCTTGTCTAAATATTATAGACCAGCTCATAAAACTATTTACAATTTGAATGTTAGTACCAGTAGTAGGGGAAATATTCACATCCTTTACTGTTTCCCCCCTTTTTTTGTTTTAGGTGGTGGAAGAACAGACAACACACACATCATACGATATGGGACTGCAGACAGAGAGCGCAGCACTAGAAAAGTTGGCAACACAAAACAGATACCAAGAAGAGGTAACATCATATATCTGTCACCATATTGTATAGACTGAAGAACTAAAAAGAGGGTACTACACCGGAAAAAAGTGGTGAATATCAGAAAAATGCCAAAGCAGGGAAGGAGAAGAGAGAAACCTCGGCACTGTTGCATCTACTATCATGTCATGATACAAAGTTAATGCCTAGATTTATTCAAAACTCTTGTCTGTTTTTAAATAATCTTAAAGCTGCATTAACTAACCTTCTCCCTGTAATTTTTGACCGCTAAGGGCAAAGTGAGAGTCAAAGCAAACTCTAGCAGTATCCCCTCTTCTCCCTCTGTTCCTCCTTGCCTCTCCTGTCCTGTCGCTGAAACTAGGTCATATGTGGTCATGATATACTGTATGTGGAGAAAGTTGCAGCAATCAGGTAGCGCAGCATTAATAACTAGCTCCAGAACGAACGTGTACGGACTATAGAGCCCGTGGTTTTCAGTGGTCATGCAATGACACAATGTCAGAGGTTTACATTTTAGCAATATGCACATGTATGTCTAATGTTGTTTATACTGTAGCAGATGGTCATAATGTTATGGCTGATCGGTGTATTTCCAGTAACACAAGCAAATTACACAGGAATATCTTTTGCTAGAAATATTGATATAGTAGTAATGTTCTGGCCACTATCGCTTTGCCTTCAGTGTTAAATACTTGACACATAACTGAGTTGTGTGAAACAAGAAATTTCATGTTATGCTTTGATAGCTGAACAAACTCCCCACTTTTCTAGTTGCGATGATGGCACAAATTTCAACAACTTCTCAAAATGCTACATGGACTACAGTGTTCTGTCCAACATAAACTGGACCAATATGAGAGAGATGGGTTAACTTTTTAAAGCTGTTGATGGACATTCTATTTGTGAATGTGTTTGTATTTTTTTTCTTTCAGACTATGAATCCTCGGGAAGTGGAGGTGGAAGAGACAAAGCCAGACCCGGAGTCTGATACTGTTCCTGTTGCTCCTGAGCCAGAACCCACCCCAGAACCCCAGGTGGATTTGGACCTGCAGACTGACACCCGGGACCATGAGCAGATATCCCCAGTGTCATCCACTCTAGGACCAGTTTCAGCACAGCCCCAAGTGTCCACAGATGCCCCAACAGAAAGCTTTGCTGATAGTCCTGCTACACACCACAGCCTGGACTCGTACCCAGCCATAATCCCAGATGAAGCTGTGAACGCACCTACCTCACAGAGTGCCAGCCCAGGGTAAGCTCAGATTCATTTCCTCATTTCAGGGACATGGCCTCTGGCATTACAAGTTGGCTCTAACCACAAAACAGTCACATCGGATAAAAATATATAATACTAGAAAATGTTAGTTCTTTTATAATGATTACAGCCAATTTCATCTCAATCTGCATAGAATCGTTTTGTCAAACATTGCAGATTCTGATATTTAACTGTCTTAGACCAGAGCGGCTGTTTACTTTTGTTCCCTTCATTTTTTTGTTTTATTTCACTTATTTTTTTTTTCTAATTAATCACTGTAAATGACTGATGACAGAGTATAAGAGAAGCTCAAAGGAGAGTTGGTCTGGCATCACGGATATGTCAGTTACTTTTAATGAAACTGGTGGTGAGGGCTGTGACGTTTCATGGAACTGCTCATGCACAGGGATATTTTTTATTTTTTTACTTTGCAATGGAAGTTTGTGGAACTTTGACCAAGATTACTCTGGTTATGTTCTGGGTGGAAGAAAATGCACCTTGTGGCAGCTTTTGTTTTCAACTCCTTTCTCAAAGCAACAAGTCAACATCAGGGCATTTTGTGTGATACACGCACACCAACTGCCCCACCGACGACTGACCTATCCATCCCTTGTGGCCACTCATTTCTTTCTCAAGTCTCCTGTTCTCTTGCCTTCTCTCTCCTGCTCTCCCGACGTTCTGTCAATTATCTCCTCTTGTCTCCTTCCCTTTCTCTCTGCCACCCTACTCTCCTCTCTCTCCCACCCAAATGTAAGGAGGTGTGGTAAACGCCATGTCCTTTCTTTCCCTCAGTGCAGTGCGGGTTGCCAGTGCAGGAGATGAACTCCCAGTAGACAACTTTGTCTTTGCTGAGCACTCTGATTCACAGTGCGGGGTCATTCCCCCCAAACTGGCAACCTGCGAAAACTCCCCTTTTGGCATCGCTCTGCTCAGGTGAGTTTCTATCTCCCAGAAGCCAATTAAAGCACAGAGACAGGTAATCAAGGTATAAGCACACCTCTCTGCTGTGTGCTGCCGTCAACCACTGGCTTTGCTCTCCACTTGTACTTTTTTTTTTTTTTCAGATTCCTTTTTCCATCGTTTTGCCAGCTTACAACCAAGGACTGTCAAGACTGTCGCAAACTAAATATTTTTGTGTTTACATCATGGATCCAACATTGCTGTGCCCTCATTTGTGTTCTTTATCCTTATTCCTCCCCACTTTTTCCTCTTAACTCCACTGGCCTCATGTCTGTGCTGTAGTGTCAGTGAGACTGGCATAGAGGGCCAGTTGTCAGAACAGAGCCCCAGTTCTGGTCCTGAAGCAGAGGTCCAGTCCGCTCCAGGTCTTGTGGACCAGGAACAGCGACAGGAGCTGAAGGATGCGCTATCTGATTTGGACCATGAGAGCAACATCTCCAACCACCACCAAGAAGAGCAGGTCAGCAGCTTGCAGTTCTCAAATTTTTCATTACATAAAAAAAAAAAAAAAAAAAAAAAAAAAAAAAAAAAAAAAAAAAAAAAAAAAAATCAATTCTGAAAGTTTTTAGCTTTTTTTCATTAGCAAAATAATTTGGACATATCGTCATCGGTGTGTGTGTGTGTGTGTGTGTGTGTGTGGGTGAATGGTGTATGATCTCCTGTAAAGCGCTTTGGCCAGTGCAACACACTGTGAGAAAGCGCTATATAAAATACAGTCCATTTACCATTTACAGTATATAAATGTAGTACTTCCATAGTTGTTCCTAGTTTTGAGCAGTGCCGGTGTTATGAAAGAATATTTCACTGTAATCACGCATAAACACAAACAGAAAATTAAAAACATCACTGTCAGCTTCCCAAACAGCTTTTTATTTATTTATTTATTGACAAGACAGACAGTGCATGTACTGTAGTTTGGATGATATACAATAATAGGATGACATGCAATCCTGCTAAAGAAAACTTCCACAACTTTGTTCCACTAACACTTTAGTGGAACAAAGTGGGATCCATGGTCTAAGGTTGCTGTTGCGTGTTCATACATTTTCCACCTGTAAAATACTGCATATGCCTATAATTGCTGGCTAGTTCACATTGAAATGTATAATTCCTCACTATGCACAGCACAGTGGCAAATGCTGAGTCAGCTTGCTTTCAGTTGCTTCTGTCATGGTTGAGTAATGAGAGATGAATGTACCTGTTTTCAAGGGGACTGCGTGTGCGTGTGTGTTTCAGGGGGTCTTTTGGTCTGGCAGCTAATCTTTGTGTGGCCCGCAGTGTCTCCTGGTGGGCCAGAAGCCATTTGAGTTGTTGGATTTGTTTGGCTCACACTCTGTTGTGAGGTTTCAAAGGGTGCTTACATAATCCATCAAAACACTGTTCACAGCTCAGTGCATGCAAATGCTGTAGTGGCCAGGGACTACCATGAACTGTCTTGACTGTTTGTTAGCTATGTGACAATTCACATGTGGCTTTGTGATGTCATCCAAATTGCCTTATTAATCAAATGTAGCAGCAGGTCTTGAAAAACAATAACTATACAGTATTTAAGTTTTTAGCAGATATTATGGTCTTTAATTTACAAAAGTATTTCTTTCCATAGGCAGTGATGTTAGTTGTAAAGTATTTTTGTATGTGATTGCCGGCTGTCAGGTGACCTTATGTACCTCTAAACTAGAATGTGCACATAGGAGACCCTTAAACACTGTCACTAGTGCTAGTTGGCCCTACTGACCAGATATAGATCTTTAGCAAAAAATATCATGAATTTAAATACATTTTTCATCTTTAAATGTTTAATCCATTTGCTACCACAGATCTGTGTCCAGGTCACTCTAATTTAATCAGTTATATTGTTGTTATATTGATGCTTTTGTACTTTGATCATTATGACTGTGAAACAGATATTGAAATGCATTTTATATATTAAAAAAAAAAACTTTAGAAGATTTAAGAACCATGCAGAAACCATTTCCTCTCTGCCTTGAATGTAATGGCCTAAGCCTGTTAGGAGGTGATGATGGTGGTGTTACAGTTCCACTGTCATTCTGTGCCTGTGTGTTTTAGGCAGGGGATGCCACTATTGTCAGGGAGACTGATCCATCAGTGCCCAGCAAAGAAGACATCCCCACCTTTGATGAGTGGAAGAAACAAGTCATGGAGGTGGAGAAGGAAAAAAGTGAGTGCAAACATTATTACATCACACATGAATAGATGTGTGATGCATCTCTCTCTGTTCATACACATAACAGTGCAAAGGTAGCTTGATGACAGGCCCAGTTTCTCTGTAGACAGAGGAGTTCACTTCACTTTTCAGCTTGTCTGCATCTCGTTGCTTTTTTGTTCTTTTTAATACAAATGTTTTGTGCATCAATTCCTTCATGTTCTTTTCTTGTCTCTCTCACCATCTCCCCCTCTTTTCTTTCTTTCTTCTTGTACACAGTGGTTAGTGGATTGTGTTTTTGTGTGTTGCATAACCTCTCCAGCTTTGCCTCTCAGGCAGTGCTTTTTTTTTTACGGAGTTTCTCATTGGCGTAATGTAACCATGTCTTTGTCCAGGTCAGTCTCTCCATACTTCAACCAGTAGCAGCCCCCATCTAGTGAAGAAGGTCCAGAAAAACTTCAAGAATAACTATGCTTCTGTGGAGTGTGGAGCTAAGATACTGGCTGCTAACAATGAGGCCAAGGTTAAAAACACATTACCACATCCCCTACACACAAACTCACACACTCACACAGCCAAGGATACAGACATCATGCTGTCATTTTGGATCAGCAGATAGATTAAACCCATTTCAGATTCTTTCCATTTAAATTTAGCATTTATTATTTACTCAGTGATGTTACCTGTAGTGGCCTTCTTGAATGTCTAAATAAACCAATTAACTGTGACGATGGTGTCTGGTGTTAATCCCCTCATTCCCTTTTCAGAGCACTTCAGCTGTTCTCATGGAGAATATGGATCTTTACATGCTAAATCCTTGCAGCAACAAAATCTGGTAAGTGTAAGCATGCACACAGGTGTTATCCAGTTTATAAATAACATTTTATATATGCAAGTTTCTTGTGAGTTTTTAATGAACCTTCTGTTTTTACCACTGTTCAGGTTTATTATAGAGCTCTGTGAGCCTATTCAAGTCAAACAGCTGGACATTGCTAACTTTGAGCTCTTCTCATCTACACCTAAAGACTTTTTAGTTTCTATCAGTGACAGGTGTGTATACTCACTTTGGTCTTCAAATGTGCACACAGTCTTTCTTAAGCTGAATAGAGTCCTGTAGTAGCGAGTCCTAAAACCCAGAACTGAGTCAATGGGTTTTTGGTTTGATGCCTGAAATAAACTCAGTGGTTTATACACTGCTCAAAAAAAATAAAGGGAACACAAGGGGGAAAATAAGATATTCAACTATGTAATAAACAAGGCATTTAATAAGAGTATTTCATTCATTCAGATCTAGGATGTTTTATGTTGTGTTCCCTTTATTTTTTTGAGCAGTATATTTTGTTCTATGAAATAAAATGTCAGTAAATGCCCAACTTCTGATTTTGAATGTTTTCACATGTTAGCAGCCACCTTTTTTTAAGACAAGTGGTTAAATGGGACTACAGAGGTTGTCTGTGAGTTTACATGTCAGAACACAGAGACTCATCTACTCCCTAGCCCATTTTTACATCCTTGTTATTTTTAAACTCATGCACTCGCAAAAGCTATTCTAAATAACTTACTCAGTCATGATCACTAGCTAGATCAGGTCACACTAAGAAGAACAGATTTTGTGGAAGAGGTAAGTGCTATAAATCAAATTACAAGTTGGAAGCTGTGGTGGTGATGCTCAAGTCATTGTGTATTTGGTTTATAGCCTAACAATAGCTTTTTAGTTCTGGTTGTCATATTTGGGCTTCAAAAATCATAGCAGTAATGCTCACCAGTTTCTTTCTGAACAAAATATGCAAGTGTCAAACAGTTGCATGTGACAGAGCTTATCTTCTGTAATAATCCAAAAGCCTATGGAAAAATCCCACTGGCTGTCAAAGGAACCAGCATGATGCTAACTTCCAGGCTGGCCTGCAAAAAACACCATTGTCAACAACACTCTATAAATGTCCTCTTATAAGCGATTGAGAGATTTCAAACCTAACTAAATCTGCATGTTCTCAAAAGTACTCTGGTGGGCTTGCAACAAACGGAGACTTGCATCGCACATTTGATTGTCACAGTATGTGCAGGCCTTTGAAATGTAATTTATTGCCACAAAGATGATCATTATGTGTTTGCTAGTTTGTTTTTTCAGTGTGATAGATTTTGGGCAAACATTTTTAAATGAAATATCGAAAGTAGAACAACACCACACAAAGGTTTTCATCTAGCTAGCGGATCACCACCTTCTCAGACTGCACCAGTACTGGTTAAAGCCCCTTCATTCTCCTGTATCATCAGGCTCTAATTTTAGTGCAGTCTTAGCTGGTCAAAAATCAAATCAAATTAAATTTTATCTGTATAGCACCAAATCACAACAAAAGTCATCTCAGGACACTTTACAAAGTAAGGTCCAGACCTTACTGTTATCAATATTATTACATAGGGAAAACCCAACAAATCCCCCTTGAGCAAGCACTTGGCGACAGTGGGGAGGAAAAACTCCCTGGTGTTTTCTTTGTTTTGGATTTTCACATTGGGTTTTGTTCTAGTGTCCTCTGGCACCACATCTCATACCCTCCACCCACTGCCATTGAAGGACAGACCTATAGTCACACAGTGGCATTTGCACTCAGCCTTTGAGAGCATGCCAAATGTCATTTGATATAAAGTGTGGCACTCATACACGTCTTACTTCTCTGTTGCTCTGCTTGCAGATACCCTACCAACAAGTGGGTGAAGTTGGGTACATTCCATGCCCGTGATGAGCGCATAGTTCAGAGTTTTCCACTGGATGAACAGCTTTATGCTAAATATGTGAAGGTATTGCCTTTTTGTTCTTGCTGTTAGGGCGTTACATTTGTTCTCTCATTTTCAGTGGTATATTACAGTTCAGTAGATAATTATACACACAGACACTTTCATACACATGTGCTAAAGCTGTATTTTCAGCTCAGGGGGATTCTCTAATGATCTCAGAATTTACTGTCACTGCTACCAGTGTTATCCAGAGTTGCTCCCTCAACTGGAAGAGTTTAAGTATCTTGGGGTCTTGTTCACGAGTGAAGGAAAAATGGAGCGGTGCAGCGTCCGCAATAATGCGGTCTCTGTACCGTTGTAATGAAGGAGCTGAGTCATAAGACGAAGCTCTCAATTTACCGTTCAATCTATGTTCCTACCCTCTCCTATGGCCATGAACTTTGAATCATGACCGAAAGAATGAGATCGTGGATACAACCAGCGGAAATGAGTTTCCTCCGGAGTGTGGCTGGGCACACCCATAGGGATAGGGTGCAGACCTCAGTCACCCGTGAAGAGCTTGGAGTGGAGCCGCTGCTCCTCCATGTTGAGCGGAACCAGTTCAGGTGGCTTGGGCACCTGTTTAGGATGCCCCCTGGATGCCTTCCTGGGGATGTATTCCGGGCATGTCCCTCCGGGAGAAGGCCTCGGGACAGACCCAGGACACGATGGAGAGACTATGTCTCCTGGCTGGCCTGGGAACACCTTGAGGTTCCTCCTGATGAGCTAGAGGTGGTGTGTGGGGAGAGGGAAGTCTGGGAGGCTCTGCTCGGACTACTGCCCTCGTGATCCGGGCTCGGATGACGCGGCCAAAGATGGATGGATGCTACCAGTGTTATCCAGTGTAGTGTCCTTTCAGCTTATATAGCAGCATAAATAAACAGGGCACGTTGTTCGTTGATGGACATCCATTTGTCTTTTGGTTCAGTCAGCCTAGTGTTTGTTAGGGGGAGTAAATTGTGCTATATTTAGGTTTCATTTGTTGAGTCTATTAAAGTTATTCTTTAAGTGGTCTCTCCCTCTCACTGTTGCTGACTACTGGTTCACTGTGTACACTTGTTAAACTGCTGATTAATGCTCAAATGGTTTCTCTTCATGTGGTGAGTGTGGGTGTCATGTTGGTGCTCACTGATTCATGTGCTCTATGAAAAATTTTTATTACATAAACTGACTTTTCTGCTTCAGTCTAATCTAAGCATTTTAAGATTATGACTATTTCTAATGTTTTCCATCTGTCCCTCTGTCTTGCTTGCTTGTTAAAACATCTCTTTATTATCATGCTTTATAAGACTATGATCTAGCATACAGCATGTCAGTGGTGAGTCGGTCTTATTAGTCAGTGTAAACAGATGCTCAACCTGCTTGTACTGTAGCTTGAATCAGTTTTTACTGATTTCTTTTTCTTGTCTTCTTTCCCTCTCCTTCCGTTCTTCTCATGTCTTCCTCTCACATCAGATGTTCATCAAGTACATAAAGGTTAGCACTCTTCTTTTTCTGACTGAGCATTATGATGCACCTTTAATGGTCATACACTCTTATGGGGGAGCTTTGGCAAAGCAGTCATCTTTAATGCATGTAAAAGATATTAAACAAGTAGAACATGGTCACAAACTGTCAGCACTTGGCAATTGAATGATGAATTTTCACATGCTCAGTGGATTAGGGGTTTAGGGAGTATACAGGACATTGCTGAGATTGACACAGTTATTAAATTGTAGATTGTATTTTGGGTTTAAGAGTTTGCTCATGTTCCTTGTAGGTTGAACTCCTCTCACACTTTGGTTCAGAGCACTTCTGTCCCCTCAGCCTCATCAGGTAAGATAGAATATCCTCAGTTTCAATTCCTTTGATGTCTCTTCTAATTTACAGATCATAGACAATACATTTCAGACACTTTATTTGTAAGTATTCAAGTAATTGCACTAATGTTTTGGGTGAAGGAGGACAGTGCTTTATCTTTCTGAAGTATAGAACTTACCATGTATAACCATTAAGGTTATTTCATTTAATTCTTAAGGACATAGAAGCACTGGGGGAGAACAGGAAATTGGATGCATCTGTACTCCAAGCCACACACTGCTTTCTTCAGACAGAACCCATTTTCAACAAGTCATTTTGCTTAATAATTCTGTCTGTTACATTCTGCAAGAAATGTTGTTGATCTTTTGTTCACTGTCTCATTCTCTCCTTCTTAGTGGTTGTTGGCCACATACAGTGGGTACGGAAAGTATTCAGACCCCCTTAAATTTTTCACTCTTTGTTATATTGCAGCCATATGCTAAAATCATTTAAGTTCATTTTATTCCTCATTAATGTACACACAGCACCCCATATTGACAGAAAAACACAGAATTTTTGACATTTTTGCAGATTTATTAAAAAAGAAAAACTGAAATATCACATGGTCATAAGTATTCAGACCCTTTGCT